ATTGGGTTTAGGGTCTAGAGTTTCAAAGTAAGGCCTCAGAAGGTTTTGAGGGCTTGGGGTTTGACATTGATCCAAGGTTCCTGCCAACTTGGCTGCATGTGCGATTTGGTATTAGGCCTTCAGGGCTGCAAGTTATGCAACTTCCAAGTACTACAAAGTTATGATGGGGCTACAGATGTCACTAGGTACCCTACACACCAAACCTTGAACCCCTAGACCCCTAAACTTGAACCCAAGACCCCGAGCCCTGAACCTTTGACCCTAAACCTTGAACCCGAGACCCTGAACCAAAGTTCTGCAAAGCGTCAGCAGTACAGACTCTAAAAGGCCAGGGAGACTGACCCGTGTAAAACAAGCACTCTCACTCTGTTGGTCTGACGCCAAGTCGGCATGGCGGAGGTTTTGTTGTCTAAACATACGGATGTTGTAACGCATTTGCTGGGGCTCCTTGGGCGAATCCGCGTTCTTGTTCGTTTAGAGGGTTTTGGGTTTGCAAAGGCCCCTAAAAGTCATCGCCAAACCCTAAACCCTAAACCCTAAACCCTAAACCCTAAACCCTAAACCCTAAACCCTAAACCCTAAACCCTAAACCCTAAACCCTAAACCCTAAACCATCGTGGCTGTGCGGTATTCCCCGAAGGGCCCCGCCTTGGGGACATATTTATTTCCCTGGGCTTTTCGGTTCATTGTTTGGGGGCTCAAAGCCCGAATTCTTATAAACCCTCTAAAGCCCTATAAACCTAAACCCTAAATGCCCCAAACCCTATCATAAAACCCTATAAACCTGAGAGACGCCAGGATCGTCAGAAGAGCGATGAAGAACACAAAGGTCGTGGGAGGCGGCGGAGCAGCCTCTTGGGCCAGGGTTTAGGGTTTAGGGTTTAGGGTTTAGGATTTAGGGTTTAGGGTTTAGGGTTTAGGGCGTAGGGTTTAGGGTTTAGGGTTTAGGGTTTAGGGTTTAGGGTTTAGGGTTTAGGGCGTAGGGCTTAGGGTTTAGGGTTTAGGGTCTACCGGGCCGAAGGTCCCGAAACCCCAGAATGTTGCGAGCTTAGGGGTTTAGGGCCAGGTTAGACCCTAAACCCTAAACCCTAAACCCTAAACCCTAAACCCTAAACCCTAAACCCTAAACCCTAAACCCTAAACCCTGGTTAGTTAGTTTCCTTTTGGCCTGAAGAAGGGTAGGGCTTATTTGGGTTTATGTTTATCGTCGGGCTGGCTTCAGGGCGAAAGGGTGCCGATATACATCTGTATCTATCTATCTATATATATATACATATCTATGTATGTGTATATACATATGTATCTATATATATAAATATATATATATATATCTATATCTCTGTGTATATATATATATATACACATTATGTACCTAGAAGCACACCGAGCGCTCTGAAGTCCCTCTCTGGCAGCCTCCATCGCCAGCACAGGCCTAAAGCAAAACCTCCAGCAGCTTTCGAAGTCCACTACAATTGCAAAAATGAGTGTTTCACCATTTTATTTATTTGGTTAATATTTGCACCGTTATCAATTCAAAATTTACTTTTTTTATATTTATTATTGTATTTGTATAAAAGCAACCAAAATCTGCTAAATAACATAATGGTGTATAACCATATTGAAAACACTCATATTGCAATTTTTGCAAAAGTGCTTCGAGTTCAGCATAGCAAAGAGGCGAAAGGCCATCACCCTCCGTCCACTTCACTTGATGCATGCAACCTGTGCTGAACTCTGCCTCGACCGAGCAACAAGCATGCTGAGGGTGCTCGGGGGTCGTTGAAAGCTTCAGAGTTGAGGTTTCTGGGTCCTGGGTGTGGGCGTCAGGGGCTCAAGGGCCCTAAACCCTAAACCCTAAACCCTAAACCCTAAACCCTAAACCCTAAACCCTAAACCCTAAACCCTAAACCCTAAACCCTAAACCTAACCCCTAAACCCTAAAACCCGAAACCCTAAACCCTAAACCTAAACCCTAACCCTAAACCCTAAACCCCTAAACCCCTAAACCTAAACCCCTACAGCCTAAACCCTAAAACGCTCTGGTGTAACCCTAAACCCTAAAGCCCTAAACCTAAACCCTAAACCCAAACCCTAAACGCCAAACGCCGAACCTAAACCCTAACCCTAAACCTAACCCACACCCTAAAACCCTAAACCCTAAACCCTAAAACCCTAACCCCTTAAACCCTAAACCCTAACCCTAACCCTAAAACCTAAACCCGAACCCTAAACCTAAACCCTACCCCAAACCCTAAACCCTAAACCTGCTAACCCTAAACCCTAAACCCTACACTCCTAACCTAAACCCTAAACCCTAACCCTAACCCTAAACCCTAAACCCTAAACCCTAAACCCTAAACCCTAAACCCTAAACCCTAAACCCTAAACCCTAAACCCTAAACCCTAAACCCTAAACCCTAAACCCTAAACCCTAAACCCTAAACCCTAAACCCTAAACCTTAAACGGGTGAGGTTGAGATGGAGCTCAGCAGATACCTCCGCGAGTACGCGCGGACGATCTCAGGCGATGCGTCTCGAGATCTTTTGATGTGCTTCCGCTGGTACTGAAAGATACTTTCGGGGCCTGAATAAATAGAACAGGGTTTTGGGAGTTATTGTAGTACAAATATACAGGGACTATAAGGGAATGTTCTAGGAATTATTCCGACCCCTACGCTATCCACCCTGAACCCCCCACACCGAGTTGGAGGTTTAGGGTTTGGCGAAGTATGCCTATGTTTAGTTTTCCATTGCTGGGTGCAAGAGGATCTTGTGTAG